ATCAAAGATATAGGAAAAGGTTTATATAAGGTTCCAACGGTAAAATGTAGAACTAAGGATGCACCCCACGAATCCATCAGAAAAGGTTGTTTTAATGTTGAAAAAGTCCCTAATTGATAATCCCGACATCAAGATGTGTGAGGGTATTAAAAAAAATAAAAAATTCAGAGTGCCAAAAACTGTGCATCGTGCAACATATTATCTACACCGTCCATTTTAGGAATTTTCATATGTTTATAGATCTACATGATTTTAACCATTTTTGGAGCTTAAAAGTATTTAATTAGATATGAAAATAGATTTTCAATTAATCCTAAGAAGTTTTTACTCAAAAACTACATGACATAAAATTTGGTGGTGCGTCTTAATTGCATTTATTAAGGCAAGGATATATGAAATTGGAAATCCATGAAGTAGAGGGAGCGAAATCCGTTGTGTATGGGATCAAGATTCATGCTTTAGCGGGAGCGAGATCCGTTGTGAATGAGATCGAGATCCATGAAGTAGAGGGAGCGAGATCCATGTTTAATGGAAACGAGATCCCTGAAGTAGAGGGAGCAAGCTCCATTGTTAACGAGATCGAGAATCCTAAAAATTGGAGCGAGATCCCAAAAAAATGAAAACAAGTATTGAGCGAGATCTTGACTACAGAGCGCCGGAGCTGGAGCTGGGTCTAGGAGCGGGAGCACCACCCTAGTTGGGCGCTCCCGGTAACTATGGTCATAACTTCTCTTCTTTCTTTCCTCGCATTGTTTTCATTTATGTAGAGCTTAAGAATTGAGATTTTGATTTATGGAGAGAGAGAGAGAGAGACACCTTTCCAAGGATATTCCATGTGACATTCTCAGTGCAAGGAGGAGTCGTAAGGGAGCCCAAGTATGTGTAGTACTTGAGAGTGTTCCTTCTCAATTGCTTGGTCTTAACAGCCTCAAGGGGTACCACTGCCTCTTCATCCTCAGAGCAGTTGTCCTCAGCCAACTCCTTAAGCTGCTCTTCCATCTGCACACCAAACTCCTACCATCAGGACTCTCTCTCTCTCTCTACCAAGAGCTAGGCTAAGAGTTACCTGGCTTAGGAATGGGTCAGGCCCCCCATATTGGTAAAGGATTGACAACATAGATATGTTACCATCCTTGCTTTCATGATACAACTGAACCTCCAATGGAAATCTACCATACAAATATATTGCCATTGCATTATTTGAATCATAAAAACCGTCTTAAGAGTTACATGAAAAGGATGATAAGCCTTAAACAAACAAGGAAAACCCCCCAATAAAAAGGATGATAAGCCTTAAACAAACAAGGAAAACCCCCCAATAAAAAGGATGATAAGCCTTAAACAAACAAGGAAAACCCCCCAATAAGAGTATTTAATGAGAAAAAAAAAGGATGTAAATACAATTCCAAAACGAAAAAGAGAAAATAGTCAAGATTACCTTTCCCCATTGATAGTATGCTCTGAAGGCAAGTGCCAGTAGAGCTCCTTGAGCATATTGCTCTTTCCATCAGAAAGAAGCTCCCCAGCATCCTCGGCCCATCTCAACTGTAAATTCATAGATGAGGATGATGATGATGATGATGATACAACGATGACAATGAGTAAATAAAAATAAACAACATCACATGTATCTTCTATTCCAAGAGATTTTTTTTTTTTTTATTTTGACATAAATGCTCTTTTGACTTCTCCATTGATTAAAAAGAAAAATATATGGAGAACATTTTCCAAGAATAATGTTGGCCTTTTTTTCCGAATTGTGTGATTCCATACCCGCATGCATGTATGATGGAACATTGTTCTTATTTTTAATATTTGTTTAATTTCAGATAATCTTTTCCCCATCAATACATTATCACAAATTAGGGCAATAATAACAACAACAACGTTCACAATAGAAATAATACGAACAACTAAAAAAATATTAAGCGCAACTAACCATGACACGATTGCCATCGTTGATTAAGGAAGCATTAGCTTGCTTGTAGTTCCTGGTAAGAGGAGGCAGATCTTTGTTTAGGGTGAGGTCGCCCTTCACAATATTAATGGGGGATTGATTACTTCCATGAGAGCAATCCTTGAAAGCAGGGTGCAGACTGGCCCATAGTGCTGGCTTAGTTGCACCATCATAACCAAATTTCACCTCTAAGATTATAAAAAATAAAAAATCAACACAAAATTAATAGCCAAATTTCACATTCACATAAAAACTATAAAATACTAAACACAATCAATAACCAATTTGGATCTCCCCCTGTTTATAACCAGAACCCAAAAGGAAAAATAAATTTAAAAAGGAAATCGAATTTAATGTAATCCTCTCCTCTTCAACCCACCACAACCAGCTAAAATGGTAACCAAATAAATAAACTACCAAAATTTAAGTCTCAACCCTCAACCCACCATCTTGAGAAAAACACAAGAAAGAAAATCAACACTACAATAGAAATAAACAGAAATTTCATCCTACAAAAATAAAAATAAAAATGGAGAAAAAATTGGTCAAACCTTCAAATGCTTTGGCACTGATAACAAGCAAAGCTGAGATTACAAAGATGAAAATGGCACTTGTATTCGCCATTCTCGGTTGGTGAGGGGAGGAGTTCTTGAGAGGAGGGAGAGGCAAATGCTGTAATGGAAAAGGTTTCTTTTATTTTCTTTTGAATTCGAATTGCTTATTTTTCTGGTGCGCTCTGGTTTTTGTGGGATGGAATGGTTCAAAGAGAGGTTTTAGGCAAATTGGTCGTCTTTATTTCGACAACTAGTGGACCTTTCCATGTGTGTGTGTTCCACCACTGGATTGAAGAGTCCTCCTAAATAAAGGCTTTGGAGGTTTGAGATTTGTGGTGAAACTTGTGTTCTACCAACTCAAAAACCACGAAACTATCGTGCCATCTACTATTATTATTCATATAATTGGTATTATTATTATTATTAGTATTATTTTAGACAATTCGTGTTTAGGCACATTTTCCTTGTAATCAAATGCAGTAGTCTCGTAATAATCAATATGGTAAGAGGAACTGGTTTGGAATGGAAAAGACAAGATTCGTGTTGAGACAGGAGCATGGACTCTCTCTCTCTCTCTCTTTCTCACACCTTCTCACAGGTTTATACAATTTACATGAGTTAAGTATTTTGAATTTGAGCATGAAATGCGTGTTCTAATCTAACCAGTGCATTTTGGGGCCGTTCGGATACATTGAAAAAGATTATCTGGAAAAACAAAATTTCCTATGAAATGCATTTCTTGAGAAAACTATTTCCCATCAAATGGATTTATACTGATTGGATGGTATATGAATACCTAACATTTTCATGGCATTTGATTGTATTATTAATTATAATGTCAATTTTTCAGTAAATTTGAGATATTTTCTCTCCGTAAATATTTTGAGATAATTTCTCTCTAAATATTTTCTAGTTTCTCTCCCTAAATTTTGATATAGGTTCTCTCTTTAAAAGTTTAAGATATTTCTCTCTCTAAGACTTAAAATTACATAGTTTCTCTCTCTAAAAATTTTGATATAATTTTTCTTTTTAAAAGTTTTGATAAAATTTCTCTATCTAAAAAGTTTAGATACTTTCTCTTTCTAAAGTTTTATATAATTTCTCTCTCTAAAACTTTAAGATACTTTCTCTCCTTAAAACTTCAAATATGAAATAGTTCCTTTCTATAAAATTTTGAGATAGTTTATCTCTCTAAACATTTTGATATAGTTTCTCTGTCTAATAGTTTTTTTTATATTTTTCTCTCTCTAAAACTTAAAATTTAAGATTGTATCTCTAAGATTTAAAATTTGAGATAGTTTCTCTCTCTAAGAATTTTGAGATAGGTTTTCTCTCTAAAATTTGAAATGGTTTCTTTCTCTACGAATTTTGAGATAGTTTCTATCTCTAAAAAGTTTTAGGCAATTTCTCTCTTTAAACTTAAAATTTGAGGTAGTTTCTCCCACTAAAACTTAAAATTTGAAATAGTTTCTCTCTAAAACTTTTGAGATAGTTTCTCTCTAAAAATTTTGATATAGTTTCTCTCTCTAAAAATTTTGAGATAGTTTCGCTCTAAAACAATTTTAGATGCTTGTCTTACTAGAATTTGATATAGTTTCTCTCTCTAAAATTTTAATATATTTTCTCTCTCTAAAACTTTAAATTTGAAATTGTTTCTCTCTGCAAAATTTTGATATAATCTCTCTCTAAAAAATTTTAAATAGTTTCTCTCTCTAGAATTAGATATAAATTTTATTTAAAATTTTAATATACTTTCTCTCTCTAAAACTTAAAACTTGAGATAGTTTCACTCTTTAATTTGTGGGGGTGTTTTGGCAGTGTATCTTATAAAATCGGTATCTTCATGGCAGGAAATCTAGCTGAAAATCAATTTTTGAGGGTAAAGACAAGGATACAAATTTCCTTATTTTTAGCTTGAAATGAGGAAAAATTCTGTCCCAAAATATTTTTCCAAACGCCAGAAATGTACCATCTCCACATAAAACATTTTTGGAAATATATTTCCTAGTATCCCGCTTAGTAAAAATATCCCTTTGAAATCGGGTAAGCTATCCTCGCATGATACGACCTTGGCAAGTCTCTTATATTAAATACTTTCGTCTTCTATAATGGAAAGAGACTATTTACTTATCACAATTATTTTTATTCATCAAATTTCAAATCCGGTAGTAGTGGGTATATCATTGACTAAACTCAGAGTTCCAAAAATAAATAAAAATCTCAAATTTTGTGATACACTCAAAGCCATTCAATTTGACATCTAAAAGCTTGGAGTAATTGTGACTTCTTCATAACAAAGATAAATGGTATCATAGTATATAATTTGTTATTAAATTAAGACATTCAAATAAATCACTTCTTTATCTAAATACGATCGCCCCCACTTTTATTAGAAAGTGGTGTTAAAAAAATCGCCGATTCGAATTAGAAGTTGCCAATCTAGATTGGGAATTGCTGGTTTCTCTTATATTTTGGTCAAAATCAACAACCTAATTAATGTATGTACATAATGTGTCATATTTAGTCTTCCAATTTGGGGTGAGGACCTTAAACTTTCTCTTAACCCATCTCAAGCTCAAGTAAAGGAAGTGGTTTGCATTAGTTACGCAACCAACATAAAACTTTGTCACATCTTATCATGATAGCCGGATAAGACTTATATGATGATATTTAGTCTTCCAATTAATAAACGACATATAATATCTTAAATATTATATGACAATTAGACTATAGTAAGTTGGTTACCATGTTAAAGTATCCAACGATCGATATCAAGATTGAACCCTAAGTGGTGCACTTTAAAAGAGCCACATTTGCTTTATAAGAACTTTCTTGAAAGTTAATTAAAAGCGGGGGAAGAGGGGCCGTGTGGGTGCAGGCGCGGGGATTGTTAAGGAAAACTAATTGGGGCAGGGGGTGCATTGGTTATTTCAAACCCCAACGTTCTCTTTGTAAAGCGTAAAATATAGCAAAAATGATATTTAGTTATTTCTACAGCATAAAACTTATATACTTTCCCTTATCTAACCGTCTATTTTGAATGGAGGGTTAAGATCGCTCCAATCACAATGCCATGTCTCTATACTATTTTATTTTTAATTTTTTTCTATAAATTATTTTGACACCAACTTTTGGATGTCCAAACCTCTATTAAACTTTCACTAGCGAAAAACTATAAAAAAATATTTTCAATAAAATAAAATGACCAAAATACCCTTGAAAGATTCAAGGGGTATTTTGGTTATTATATTTTATCGAAAAATTATTTTTAATTATTTTTATAGGTGCGCCCCAATGAGAAGATGACACATACTAAATTTCATAATCATACAATTTGTATAACAAAAACTAAAAATAAAATACTTTGAGATATCATATCTAAGATCAAATGATGAGTAGCTCTTTTGATCAAAATTGAGCAGCTGGATGGTAGGGAGAGGATAATTCTTCTATACTGTAGGGGAAAACTTTCTACATACATAAATACTACATTATTTTCTTCCTATTTTTAATTTAATTTTTTTTAACAACAATTACGAGCGATCTAGATCTTTGATTCCGCTTATCCCGATCAGAATATGTTGGCTATCCCACCAATTTATTTTTCAAAACACTACCAAAAAAAAAAAAGTAGTCCCGCCCGCTTTCTCTGCACATGTGACTCCTTATCTAAAGTGAGCACAAGTTTCTTTCTACGTAAATACCACCAAAATGGTCAAACCATGTAGTAAAGCCATTAACATGGATAAATTAACCTATTTAGCATCATAGTGAATACTTTTTAAGATTCCTCTGTCTCCTCAATGCGTTTGCTTAAAACCACATAAACTCTCCTCATCTCTGATGAAAAAAAGGGGAATTTCAATAATTACTTCTCTTTAAGTATCTCGAGCCAAAAGCTCTAGATACCACTGCTTGTTTAAAAATAGCAAACATATGTTTTATATTAAAATCTCCTGTATTGGTTTCTAAATTGGAAGGAAAGGTATTTATCTTATCATGTCATTAAACAAAGAGGCATATTTATGGCTCGAGCTACTTAAGTAGAACTACGTTACTTAAATAACCTACTTGTTTAGGAACTCAAATCCGAAATAAGGGAAAGTAAAACAAAGTTTTTGAGATCCAAGGAATCTTATCTATAGCTACTCTAATGCTAAATTGGTCGATTTGACTACATTGATGATTTCTCAGGTAATTCAGCCATTTTTTTGCTATTTTTCGAATTTTTTTAGGACTTTTCTTTCGTCTAAACTCTAAAGAGATAAGAGTTGAGGATTTACATCAAAAGAAAAAGATGATCACCCCTTATTGCTGGACTTTCATGTCACATACACCTTTAGGTCTATGGGAAGGTCATGGACTCTCCAAACTCTTAATAATACGACATTAAACCCCCTCCCTCATGTTTTCATTATTTAAATTACCATATTAACCCTAAGTTTTATTCTATTTCTACCTTTAATAAAACCTATAATCCATTAAAACCTCTCTTTCTACCCCTTTTCTCTCTCTTTCCATCTCTACCTTCCCAACCAATTACCCCTTCTCTATTGATTCAAGAAGGAAAGAGAGCGTTTGAAGAATGGGTAGACAATGTGTAGAGGATGAGAAAGAGAGAGGGGGTGTCATGGTAGTTTTAGATGAGAGAGAGAGTGGCTATTGGTGGGGTTGATAGAGATAGAGCGGGGAAAGGGGTAAAGGGAGACAGGTTCTACGAGTTAAAGTGGAAAAAGAATAAAAAATAGAGTTAAAACAATAATTTGGATAATAAAAACGTGAGGTAGGAGATTTAGTGTCTTATTAAGAGTTGGGTTTTCTATCGACAAAGGGCGCACTCATGATAAAAACCTGCCAAACGGGTGGTGAGCGTCTCTTTCCCTTACATCAAAGCAGTCCATCAAACGCCTGTTCTTATAACAAGTGGCTCCCTTTGCATAAAATTGCTACCATCCGATGCATTGCATGGCTGCACACGCATTCTTAGTTCTTGCTTGATTTTATAATTCGTGGTAAGGTTTCCAAAACACATTCAAAATATATTTTTTGGAGAAATAATTTTGAATTGAGATTTGAGAGAGAAATATTCACATTCCTATTTTTTAAAAATTAGCTCCGAAAGAAAGACGAAAATATCTACTAATGGCCAATGATTTTATCTACTAATAGTCCTTGTGTTTCTCACTTGCAGTATGATGATGGAAGGGGTTTAGTATCCTATTAAAATTTGGAGAGATCTACGGGTTTTTAATAGACCTGAGTGTTAAGTGAGTATGGTCATTAAAGG